TTTAAGCATGAATTTTGGTCTCGAAGCTTTGATCCATCAGTTGATCAAGATACCTTGGAGGTTTTAAATAGTAATGGCTTTTTGAATGTGAAAAAAAAAATAGATTTCACTATAGCTGATATTTTTTGGGAATGTTTTAATAAATCATTGGAACAAAACAAAACAGGCTATGATGGTAAAATAAGAATATTGTCAATAATTGCAAAGCGAATTTCAATACGAAGAACTTCAAAGAAAACTCAAGGTAAGTATATTTTAATATGCATATTTGAACTACATTTCATCATTGCTTTGTATCAATGGTGACATTGAACAATGTTGATGGCCCAATGGATTAATGAATTAATGATGGTTTTTATAATTAGAGAGTTCTCAAAATATTTAAATTCCCCAGATTTGATAACCTAGATGATGATTTTTTGTTAGAAATAAATTTTTGAATTAGTAACATCATTAGGATTAAACATTGTTTAATAACATCATACTTTGATGTTGATTATTTACAATAAAGTATATCCAATAAAATAAATTTATTACTGCCTAAGTTCATTAGAATGTACATAAACATCCTAACATTCTTATCAATAGTAATGCCATTAATGATTAAATTGCAATAATCTGAATAAAATAGGCCTCATCCAAAACAATATCCAAAGCAAGATTGCATTCTGAAGTTAATGGTCCAGGATGCGCAGGAACTGAAAAACCAATAATTACAAGAGTTTGAATTACAAAAGAAGCTAAAAGACAATTTGAAATTTTTTTTGCTGACAAAAATATTGTCAATTTAAGTTCTTATAGAGTAAATGAAAAAACTGGTGATCCTGTAAAATATTTGAAAGATCAAAAAGAAACATTGTGGAGAAAATACTTTGAACTACATCCATCTGGAATGAAAAGGACATCATTTTTAAAACGCTTGAATGATGGTTCTTTTGTATATAAGGAAGATATGGGAGGTTTGTGTGGCATTTGTTTTGAGTATGGGTATGGTGTATTTGATGATGTGAAAATCCTAATATCAGGGAGAATAAATGAAAAAGATCATCAGGTGAGTAAATGCTTTATAATAGTTATATTTAACAATTAAATACTGAAATAATTTCATATATTGTTAGAATCAATTAATTGCAGAACTTGAATCAATCCAACGTCATTTAAAATGTGAATATGAAAAAGAACTTGAAGTGGATTGCCTAGGAAATACTTATCATGTTGAATGTCTTGAGCATTGTCTTCCATATGCTTTTGGACAATATGCCAATCCCCATATTTCTAACTGTAACCAATGCAATAAGATATCAAAATGGTTTCATCAACTAATGCAGGTTATGCCAAATGATTTAGAACAAATTATTAATAACAGAAATAAGCTTCAATATTATTGGTCACACCAGACAAGAAAGACATACCTTAATGCTCAATTTAATGCTAACTTGCTTCCTCTTGATGAGGAGGGTGCAATCATTGTAGTTGATTATAAAATGAAGATTTTACCACAGTCAGCTTGTGAAGCAAAATCTGATTTTTATGGGAAATCTGGATGGACTCTACATTCAATGTTAGTTTACACCAAACATAACAATGAT